CTGATGTGAAACTGCGAAAATGCAAAGAACAGAACCCACGGTAGGGTAAATTTTAAATCTTTTCATAGCGGTTATTAAGAAAACTGCTGTGGAAAGAACTTTTAATGGAGGCTAAATAAATAACCACTGTTAAAAGTACTTTTCACGGCGGTTTTCTTAGTAACCGTCCTGAAAAGTTAATGGTCACAGCACTTATTTACAAAAATGTCATTGTCTTTTTTCCACAGTGTTTTTCAAGTTAACCGCTGTTGTTCATCGTTGTTATATGTCTTTTTTGTAGTAATACCCCATTCCCACCCCTCTTTTTTCCCCCAACGTCCCCACCCCTCTTTTTTCCCCCAACATCCCCACCCCCTTTGCGTTTTTTTTTATGCACTCAGTATTTAATTTTGTTAAGGAGGATTAAGAGTGTTATTTAATATTACAAAAGTAATTGTTATCATAGCTACATTGTTTTTTTATTATTAATTATAAGAATGTTGTGATTTCTCATGTAAATTTTGTAATTGTAGACTATGTGCATATAGTGGTATTAACATTACAAGGAATTCCGAAAATAATGATATATTGTTGATGGGCATGACAATGTTGTTATTTTACATATATATATATATGTTGTTAATGATAAAAACATGAATGTGTTTGTTTTTTGAAATATATGAAAAAGTTGATGTCATGGATATATTAACTTTTTGTTATTGGTGATAACATTATTGTTATTCCCCGATAACGACTTGTCATTGGCAAGTAAAATATGAAAATGATGTCATTTTCTGGACTAAACAAAGTTAATGGTATTAGCCTTGTTAATCAGTTCTATATTATAACAATGTAAAGCTATTTAATGTTGTCCACTTAATTAGAAAGTTGGTGACAGAAATACAATGACAGAAACACAAAATTTCTGTTATTTGCCTTACTGAACTTGTCATCTGCTAAAGAAATCTGAAAATTCTGTTATTTAAACAGAGAAAATTAATTTCGTATGAAATGCTTATCAGAAGTTGTCATTCACCATACTAAAATTGTCATTCGCCTAACTAAACTTGTTATGAATTGCTTATTAGAACCTGTCATCTACTAAAGAAATATAAAAATTGTCATTTGAAGAGAGAAAATTAAATTTGTATGAATTGCTTATCAGAAGTTGTCATTTGCCTTACTAAACTTATCATTCGCCTTATTAAACTTGTCATAAATTGCTTATCAGAGCTTGTAATCTTCTAAATAAATCTAAAAGTTTTCATTTGAATAGAGAAAATTAGATTTGTATGAATTGCTTATCAAAAGTTATCATTCACCTTACCAAACTTGTCATTCTCCAAGAAGTTGTGAAAATTCTGTCATCTTAACGAAGAAGCTTAAATTCCTACGAATTGTATATCAAAACTTGTCATATGCGTTATTGAACTTGTCATTGACCTTACTAAACTTGTCATTCACCAAGGAATTGTGGAAATTCTATCATTTTAACACAGAAACTTAAATTTTTATGAATTGCTTGTCAGAACTTGTCATATGTGCTACTAAACTTGTTATTGACCTTACTAAACTTGTTATTTACCAAGAAATAATGAAAATTCTGTCATTTTAATATATAAACTAAAATTCCTATGAATTGCTTATTAGAACTTATCATATGTGTTACTGAACTTGTTATTGAATAAGAACTAACACTCATCTTCCTTGATGAAGAAGATGTAAACAAATTGAACAAGAGCTCATCGAACCTTTCACGGTTTTCATTCCCTCCACCTAGCTTTTTCAAACTCTCTGGATATGAAAATGGAAATCAAAATTGAAATTGTTGTTGATGGTGAACATAAATCGTAGACCATGGAAGCTTGAGAACTCGAAGGGTCTGTAACATGTTGACGGTGGAGATCCGGAGTTCGCTTTTACTAAACAAGCCAGGGAAGAAGATCTCGAGTTTGTCACTGAATGCTTCAATCCTTGTTGTAGCCGCCGACGTGAAATAGAAGAAGTGGAGGAGGAGGGAGAAGAGTTGGTGTTATTAAAAATATAGCTAAATGGTGTAAGTTGAAATCATTACAAATATAATATCCGACATTCGGTTTAATTATTTATTTTTTACCTAACATAATAATAGTTTTCATATAATATTAATCTCGAGATTGGCAGGAAGGCGGGAAGAGAGTAGCAGTAGCCACTTGGTGCTAGTGTCAACTGTTCCTCATTGATTTTGGACTGCATGGAGAGATAGTTGGGGGATATCTGTATATTGGATTTGTTACAATTTCATTAGGAGGAAGTTATAACTTTCATCCAATAACTTTCTTCAATCTACCAAATGTAATATTTGGATCAATTTTCACTACTTTCACTCTATTATATTCAAATATTGTACCAGCTGGGCCATTACACACAAACTCTTTTATATGATCCATTCTGCTTCCTAAATAATACATTATAACTATTAATTAAGCAAAAATGAATTGTAAAACTAAATTAACTCCATAATATCATCATTTTTAATTCAATTATTTATATATTTTTCAAAAGAGAGTAGTAGAATAATCATTTACTTAGAATTATAAAAATTAGGCTATTCTTTTACTAGAAAACTCATTCACATTTTAAAGTAAAGTAGTAATCTGTACATCTTTCAATGAATAACGACTGTGGAACATTTATCATAAAAATATATCTAGAATAAAAATATTAATATGTTAAACTTAATAAATTAAAAAAATTAACTTAAATTTAAAATAAACGTTATATATTAAAATTATACTATAAATTCTAATATATAAATATAAATTAATAATAAATTACATATTTTAAATCTATTAAATAAAATCATTTTCTATTCATTATTTCATACATTCCATTTTATTCAAACAATATTATAATTAAATATTATAAAAAATATGAGCTAAAATAATTGCCTTTGTTTTGTTATTAGAGAGCATCTTAAAAATTATAATTATTTGAAAGGATCAAATATATTTTAAAAAAACTAAATTACCCCTTAACTACATCCCTAAATTTTCTCTAACTTATACTCTATTACTGGATATCTTGAATGATTAAATTAGATAAATATTTGATTAAATAAATGCATTTGAAAAAGTGAGTTTTTTATTCAAAAAATTGCCTTTGCTTCTCTCCTGCTTCCAACTTCATATTTCAACCAACATCATATTTCAGATGTTCAATTTTAATTTATATATATTATTAAAGAATACTTATATTCCTTTCAGTCTCTAATTTCTATACTGTGAATAAAGGCTTCGGATGAGATATATAATTTGGCTAGCACATAAAGGTAGATTTAGATTGAATAATGATAAGCTTATAATGACTGCACTTGTGTAATTTTATATTACGTTTAACTCTTGAAAGATGTTTTTATCTGGGTACCGTTTAAGTAACCCAAAATATCATTCTAATGATTGAAAACAAAAATAAATGTTAATAATTCACACTAGTTATTTAAAAATTCTAGTTACTTAATATGACAAAAAGCAAAATTTAATTTAAATTTTTGATCATGCAGACCCTACACCCTATTATTGAAAGCTTGAAGCCTCTCTTTGATGATAGGTCATCCTCCATATTGTTTTTGTGTTTCTATCTTTTTTTTTTAAAAAACAAAAAAGCATGAAGCTTTCAAGTTCATTGAGGTTCCAAAAACCTTAAAATTATTAGGAGGTTATCATGATACGGAGGTGTGGTAAGAGAAAATATAAAAGATGTCATTAGGAGCAATTGAGTATTTTTAAATATATATTTTATTATTTGGTCCCCCTAAATAATTATAATTTTTAAGATCGTCTTTAATAAATATTGCTTTTTCTACATCATCCCTTCTAATTTTCCCAAAAAATTAAAAAGAAACTCCTTTCTTTCATTATTATTAATCTCACCACCAGTACTCTTTTTATCAGAAAAAGTTTGGCACTATTTAGTGCTAGTTTTTGATTGGCCAAATAGAAGACCATACTAAACTCACAACCAAATACTATCTAACTAGATACATATTTAATCTGATTATATATTTACTCAAACACTATCTACTTAAAAAAAGATATATCTTTAATTAGATTATAAAAAATTTAACTACAATTTATTTTATATGAAAATTAATTATATGTCTACATTTTTTAATTAAAAGAAACTCAACATGTAAAAATGACTAAATATAAAATTCTTATCCATCATTTAGCAAAATACATGCAAAATTTTTTAAAAAATTAATCAAGAGAATGTACCTTAGAAGAAAAATTAAGCTTCTAGTTAAAATAAAACGTGTACAATATTTGCAAGACTGCACGCACTACCAACTTCACTGAATGAAAGTGTGTGAAAGGAGAAAGAAAAATGGAATGAACTAAAGAACTTTTCTAACGATGTATTTGGTACTGCTTCCTTGATTACAACAACAATAACGTCACCAAGAAAGGCAGATTTGAGTGGGAAATTGCATGCATTATATACACAATAATGTATGTACATTATGCACTCACATGCCAAAAAAATACTCGCCAGGCGTGAGTTGAGGGCACCTCGAATAACTAATCCCTGCGCCCCTATACAGATGGGAATATTTGGAGAAGAAAATTAACCATGTCCATAAGTAGTAGCTTTGCGTGTGGTTGAAAGAAAAGAAGCAAGTGGAGTCTGGTCAAAAAAGAAAAAAAGAAGCACATGGAGTGTATGGGGAAAGGTGTAAGTAGAAGACAAATTTATTTATTTTTTTGAGGTGAGTCTCACTGAATTCATTCAAACCAAGAACAAGTTTCATTTTGCGAGATGGGTCCTATTGAACTTGTTCTCGGTCTGAACGAGTTTTGTTGTTTTGTAACGTGGGTTTTATTGAACAGTTCTTAGTCTAAATAAGTTCTATATAAATTTAAACTCGATCACGGTCGGAACGATTTTTACGTATAGCATCTTAGTAAATTTTTTATCTCGTCTTGTCTGGCGATTTTTTTTGACTGTCTATCACATTTGGGCAAAAAACCCTCGGTGCCTCCATGCAGTCCAAAATCGGCGCTTTCTTCAAATCTCCTATTAACGACAATGATGATGACGAGCTAACAATCTGGGAGAAGAAAGAGCATCATATCTTCAATACCCATGAGTAAAGGCATTTAGATCCAAAAATGTATGCCCTTGATAGAATCGTCGGTTTCCGCATTTTACATTTGCAAACTATTTTGTCTGTTTTAGTTTATCAGAATCTGTTTAGTTGCTAGGAATTTTGAGAAACTAAAATGAAGTCCACCATTTGTAAATATATATATATATATATATATATATATATGTTTCTCCTTTTCTTTGGCACCAAACAGGATGTTCTTGTTCTGAAGGCGTCTTATTTATTTATTTATTTTTCAAGTTATTAGTTTCCTCTCCTGATATATGTTTTTATTTTCTTTTTTGTTTTTGTTTCCGGGTCAATGAAGAATCCAAGACAATATAGGGGAAATTCAACAAACGAAGAAAAGCATACCAGTCGAATCATGTTCAAAACACGAATCCATTATTACAGTCAAGCATAAGAAGAGAAGCTATGCTCAGTTTCATCTAGATTTCGGTCAATCTAATTTCCTGTTGCACAATTGTTCTATTTGTGGTGTCAAAGTTTCTCCAGGCGATGCAGAGGATGAAAAGGCACGCAAAAAACTCGACAAAACTTATACACAATGGCTTCTATTTGGAGTAAGTTGACTAAACTTTTCTTCTTGAACAAGGGTTACTTCCCTGGCTGGATTTCATTTCAATTGTTATTTATGCAGGGATGAACTAATGAAAGTATCGTTCATATGCTTAATGGCACCAGTAGAATCATATTTGGTCTTACGGACTGACCCACCAGCTCAGAAAAAGAAGGTCTAGTCTTTTGTTTTTGTGTGTGTGTGTGTGTGTTTTTTTTCATATTTTCTAGTTGGAACTCCTCATCTAACCCTGGTGACCCTATGTTGACATTTTATGGAGAAGTCATCATTAGGTTGAAGAAGTTGAGAAAATGATGGACATTGACCTTGGAAATGGATGGATAATTCATGAACACTGCAAGGTGGATATGCTATCCCTTTACTTGGCTACTTGTTTAGCTTGACAAACTTTTCTGTAATTAGATGAAACTAGTCCACGAAAGTGGCTTCCATATACGTTTTGTTGGTTTTATTCCTTAGATTAATTCAGTGACCTAATATTTGCAGGTTTATCTGTTCACTTCCCCACAAAGGATTGTTGGATGCCTTGTTGCTGAAGCAATCAAAGAGGTGTCCAAAGTTATCTCTTGCTCAAGTGCTGGAAATTCTGATGGCAGTAGAAAAAATGAACAATTCCATTTTTACCCACTCTCCAATTTGACGATATAATTTTTCGAAGAGGAGTTGAAAAAAGAGCCTCCTCTGTGAATGAATCTGCAGGATTGGACACCGCCCATGGTGGGCCAATATTCTGTGAAGACAAAGCAGTCACTGCAGTTTGCGGCATTAGAGCCATATGGATGCCTTCCTCCAACAGAAGAAAACGCATTGCCCGCCAATTGCTAGATGCTGTGAGGTAGATGATGCAACACACATTCACACACACTTCTAATGCAAACAGAAGATAACTTGGGGAAGGGTCACAGAAACAGAGAGGGAGATATGGGGAAACAGAACAGAAATGATTGGAGAGGAGGAGAGACGGAACGTAAGAGGTTGATTTGGCAGAGAAATAAAGGGAGAGATAAGACCAGAAGGAGGGGGAATATGAAGAACTTGAGGAGGATATGAAGGGAGAAGAGACAGAAAATGAGGGGGACAGAGACTAGTTGAACCATATCAAAATTCATTTCATTATCATCGCAAGTGTCACCTATGTCCTCAAACGGATGATTGGTAAACTCACGAGAGGGTGATCTACTATGCCTATTACCGTTAACTCCACAAGATTGACCAATCCTAGGAGAGTAAACACTAGATTGATTAGGGACAGGGGATCGCTCATTCCTAGAGCTAGAATCTCCTCTTCCTATTGGTCTTTCTAGTAACCCTTCTGTCACCTTTCCTGTATTTTGTCTGTCAACAGAATTGCGCTCATGAGTTCTTCAAATTTACTATTCAATGTGTCTGTAATCAATCATGAATTGTGACAAACAAAAAATCATAAATTCAATGTCTAGTGACGGATTGAATGTTCAACTGAAAGCTATTCATGATTGACAATTTCTCATACTCCTTGAAGCAAATGTGAAAATTATGTAATTGGAGCTTTATCACTTGTTGTATTGAGTTAAAGTTAAACAATTGTTATTCCTCAATTAATGGTCAACTTAAACAACGGGATCGGTCCATGGATTTTCTTTTCTTTTGCCACATTTTGCTCAAAGGGTTAAAGGAAGATAGTTCATCAAGCTGCTCGCAGGGGCCAACTTGATCCTCTTTCCCTAGAATCCGAGATGAGGAAACCCAAGGGGAGCCACTGTCTAACTCTCCGGTAATTTTAAATTTGAAATTTGTGGCAGGAAAAGTTTCTACATGGGTTTCGTGCTTTAGCATTCTCTCAGCTAACAACGGCAGGAATGGCGTTAGCATCAAGCCACACTGGCAGTGGATCATTCTTGGTGTATAGGTCATAAATATTCAAAATGAAGTACACTGTTCGAAATCTTTCATCCATGGTGGAGACGATGCTTCATTCACGACGGACTTTTGGGAGTCTTGTCCAATAAAAAACGAGTGACAAGTGATGACCATGATGCATTGTCCTTCAAAGCTTGGAGATGTCAGACGCATGCCAAAATTTTATAACAATCTTATTGACATCAAGTAGACATGCCTGAACATTTTCTAACGGCCATGACGCATTAAATTCCTTCACCTACTGCAGATTTCATCTACACTTTTACCCATAGATAGTTAGCCATATCAAATAATATTATATCCAGGAGCACCGACTAGATATTATCAAAACCATTGCTCCAAAATCATATCATCCGCAGTAATGATAAACAAAAATGATACATTTGAATCATATTTTTAAGCCTTAAAGATGTACAAGACAAGATTAAGTGAATGCCATAAAACCCAAAAAAAACAAAATCAGTAATGCCATAATCACTCTTCCATCGGACGGTTTTCCTCAGCTTGCTGTTGGGAAACTTGAACTTTGATCTTTGGCAAAGTGAGAGATGGATCCTGTTGAAGCACAGATGGAGCTTTGACCAAATTGATGCCCTGCTCCAACTCCCTTGCAGCCTCCTTGAGGAGCTTAGCCTTGTTGCCTTTCATTCTATAAGAAGATCCAAAGAAAGTCAGCAAAAGGAAAAGGTTCTGAGGCACTTCAATACAAAATAACAGTGAATCAACCACTTACCTATTCTTGTGGTGTCTCTCCTCCCTGCTAACTCTGATCTTATCAATCTTTGGAATAGCCTTGAGAACATCTTCCGCAAGATTCCGATCATATCTTTCAGGTCTGTTTCGCTTTCTCTCAAACTCAAAGGTTGAATCCTAAGGAAACAAAATAATAGTGCTGGAGTTTCTAGGAAACAGGAGACATAATATACAACCAAGATAGCTGGGAAAGCATGGAGCTTTTACCTGTGTCATATCCTTTCCATGCAATCGACGATATGCCTTGGTCCATTTTACTTTACGAGGATTCCTCTTCATTTTAAAGTTCTTGTGGCATTTAGATCTACAAAATCGAAAAATCTGCAGAGCAGCCACTATTCAGTAACTCAATGCCAAGGCCACAGGTGCCATGTAAATTTAGCCTGTGATGGCACCCAAACTTTTTACTCCTAAGGTTTTTTTTTTTTTTGGGGGGGGGGGGGTTCTCTTTCTTTAGGAAAAACTTGTAGCCTATTAGCTTCATTGCAATAGACTCAACCATCAATTTTTTTTCCCATATGACGTATGTGATCAAAATAATTGAGCCAACCATGAGATATAAATGTAACATGTCTTTTGCATTACAAAGAAAAGCAATTAGACGGCCAATTTGCCCTGGTATTCAGTGAGGAACCAGGTACACACTATGCACAGAAGTGAATAGGAAAAAAGTTCATACTTCTCAAAGCTAAGAGGATTACAGATTTAGAAAATAGCTATCTATTAAGAGCCTCAATTTCAAATAGGCATCCACATCCAACTAATCCAAGAAAAGCAGTCAATTCAAATAACTTTCAATAAATTTTAAACAAATGGAGCAGCAAAAATATGGGAGAAACATCTAAAATAGAATTAGGGGAATATAAATAGTATACCTTTGCATCATTACGAACAAACTGAATTCCATGTCCAGGGTATATGGTCGAAGAGCAAAACCAGCATTTCTCCAATCTCATTGTGCCCTGAGACTAGAGAAGCACTTCTGCTGAATGACAACAATATGAAACACAAGAACATAAGTCATAAGAAAGGTAGAGGGGGAAAAAACACATTTATCAATTCCTATCAGCAACATATGAAAACTATTAGCCGTAAATATCGGCCAGGCTGGGAACAAGTTCACTCAAGCTGATAAGCATGTCAGTAAAACCGGTCCTAAAGGGACACAGTTGGGCTAAACAGGGTGGGCAGCTTGCTGGGTTTATTTTTAACCTTTCCTAACAAAAACTCTGCACCTTTATTTTCAAGATGTCTGGACGAAAAACAGGTTGTAAATGCAATTGGAGACTGAACCAAAAAACAGTAACTCTTTAAAAACAACAAATAGTTTGCTTCCTTGAACCAAATATAATCAACTTTACGAACTACTAATACTAGAAAAACTCACACACACAGGCACACACAGAGATTATATATCAAAATCATATTGCTTCTGTATGTATTTCACATTTTCAACAGAAACAAGAAAGAGGACCCAAATCAAAAGAGGAGCCAAATGATATTCAAATTACTTCTGTACAAAATCTATATATTTTACTTCAGATTTTCGGCAACAAATCAAATCAATTACACCAAATTACGGGGGAAATGGCGGTATCAAGAACTGTCTCAAGACCTTTTTGCACAGTATAAGGAAAGACTGGAAAGGACAAAGTTGATCGTATTAGGAGATATCATCCCGAGACTACCTCTTCCTTGTCGACGACAGCAAGACTAGGGCGGCGCCGACGAGCTTCGACGGTAGAGACCGAAGGAAGAGGGTGCGTGCGCAGACGCCAGGGGAGAGCTAGGGCTTCCAATGAATTTTGGGAAGGGAGCGCTTTTCACTTGTCTTGTGAGTTTTGCCGGCTTGTATTAAACGCCAGCGTCTTATAAACACTAACAATGGAAACACATTTCTCTGTTAAAATATCTTTTTATTATATATAAAATGGGTTGTCTTTTACTCTTAAAAAATTAATGTTTTTCATTTTTCTTAATAGTTTAGCAACTTAAAATATAACTGAAAAATGACTAATGATATTCTAGATTTTTAAATCTTCAAGTTAACAAATAAATTATGATAAAACAAAATCATATTAAAAGAAATCATCTTTTTGATACAAGTACAAGAAATATGGATCCTTTAATAAATGATATCATAAATGCATAATTTAATTGAAAATTATACTAATTTGAAAAAAAAAACATATCTTTACTATTGTTAAAAGCTATTAATACTTATTTTTAAATTTTTGTATATATCTCAAATATTTATATATAAAAAAAAATTAAAAATAGTCTGTTTTTGTCCTAAACAATTCACATGAATTATTTGATCTTTCATAATTTAAAATTTCTGAGTAAGATCCAAACAGAATTATTTTTATTTAAATTATTGATATTTTAATTTTTTTTATTTGCATACAGTAGAAGAAAAGTTGCACTTGCGGATTATAGATACACTTGCTCAAATATAATTTTTTTTCACTAATTAAATTTTCAAACTAGGACTTTTAGCCAAATTTTTCTTGAATATATTTATACATGCATTATGAATTATAATATTTTTTCGTAAAACTTAAAACACTATATTAGATATATAATTTCATTCGGAATATTTTTCAATTTTTAAAATATTTTTAAATTATTATACTTAATTCGTCATTTACCATCACCTGGACCTAATTTTTATGTTATTATTGTCCATGTGGGGGTACCGTAGATGGTTAAAAAGAATATATGTGTGTGTATTAATCTGATTTATAAGATAGAGAAGAAAAATTTTAAAAAAAAGTTTTTCTCTATCATATTTATAAGTAAATTCATTAATTTTTAATTTGAATATATGTCTTTACCTTTTATTTATTATTATATATTATATTATTAATTCTCTTAAGAAGTTTACACATTAAATATGAATAAAATTATAAAGTTGTTTAATTTTAAGGTGGAACTAACTATATTTTAAAATTTCTATGATGCCCTTGACACATTTGAAAATTACCACTCCAGATCCAGTCCTTTTTTTGGGTGTTGGGCTCTAGATCCACTCCTTATAGTTAAGTGATTTTTGGTGAATTTTTTTTTTTTTTTTATGGAAAAGGGATTAGCAACTACTACATATCAGCACCTACTAAAACAGGACTCTAGAGGGCTTCTCATTGAAGAATGTCTCATATGGGATATGGGGGATTACGAAACACAG